ACCAGCACAACGTTTTTGTCCTCTAACAATTAGTAACTCAGATGGTACACTATGTTCAACCGTACAAGAAAAAATACAAGTATGGGAACAACACATGAAAGAACTTTATAATGACTATAGAGAAGAACCACCAGTAAGACCAACGGTTGATCAAGGACCAGAAATTCTCAATAGTGAAGTATTGCAGGCAATTAAATAACTTAAAAACAACAAAAGTCCAGGTCCTGACAATATATATCCAGAAATACTTAAATTAATGTCAGAAGAGAACGTAGGCTTTTTAACAAGATCTATGATAGAGGAAAAGTACCTGATGACTGGCTCCACTCAACTTTTGTACCGCTTCCGAAAAAACCATCAGCTCGACATCTCAGTGACTACAGACTTATTAGTTTAATGAGTCACGCACTGAAAGTATTACTTAAAATAATACATAACAGAATTTATAAGAAGTGTGAGCAAGAAAGCGGCTATGAAAAGTTTGGGTTTAAGAGTGGATTGGGAACACGAGAGGCCTTATTCTGTTTACAATTGATAGCGCAGAAGTGTACAGACCAACAAAAACCAATGTATGTGTGTTTCGTAGACTTCGAAAAAGCATTCGATAGAGTCAAACATACGAGACTTATAGAAATGTTGTATGAGTTGGGAGGTGACAAATCGTAATGTAACACTTCTGAAAAATATATATTGGCAATAAACAGGCCGCATGAAAGTTGAAAATAACAATTCCAATTCAGTCAATATACAGAGAGGAGTAAGACAGGGATGTGTGCTGTCTCCTTCGCTATTTAATGTTTATTCTGACGCGATTTTTCGGGAAGCTTTTTCTTCAACAGATTGCGGTATTAAAGTCAATGGCGAAATCATTAACAACATTAGATTTGCCGATGACACAGTTCTTATTGCCGATTCTGATACTGGTCTCCAGAGTTTAGTGGAACGACTTGAAGGCTCTTGTAAGAAATACGGGATGAAGATCAATTCTTCCAAAACTAAAGTCATGGTATTTGGCAAGAACCAAAATGTACCAATTCCTATTAAAATAGAGGGCAATACCTTAGAACAGGTCTATAAGTTCAAATATTTGGGGTCCTGGATAGTTAACACCTTGAACAACGACGTGGAAATAAAAACTAGAATAGAACAAGCGAGAAATGCATTTTTAAAAATGAAGAACGTCTTCCAGAACCCCAGATTGGACCTAGAGTTGAGAACTAGGCTCGTTAAGTGTTATGTTTGGTCAATCCTATTATACGGAGCAGAAACATGGACACTGAAAGTTCAAGAGATTGAATCGCCTCGAATCGTTCGAAACATGGATATATCGAAGAATGCTTAAAATTCCATGGACAGCCCATATCACAAATACCGAAGTCTACAACAGAATAGGCAGAGAAAGAGAATTGCTCAATATAATAAAAATAAGAAAAACATCATACTTAGGGCATATATTGAGAAATGAAAAATACCACGTCTTACAATTGATAGTTAAGGGTAAGATTGAAGGAAAGAGAGGTCTCGGAGAAACTATCTTGATTGAGAAACATCAGAAACTGGACTCACCTAACTTTTGAAGAACTTATAAGGAAAGCCGAGAATCGTGAAGATTTTGCCAATGTGATCGCCAACCTCCACGAAAGAGACGGCACGTAAAGAAGAAGAAGATTGTAATCATCGAGAAATTTGTAATTTTTTTGACATAGAGTATTTTGTTCTATCTCATAAAGTAAAGTGGTGGGGGAAGGTTAAACTTGCTTTTATAAAATTAGGATAACTCTGGTTTGGGTTAGCCGATTTAAACAAACTAGAGCTCGTTTAAAAGAGATTTTCTTCCTTAATGATCTCCAGTATAAATTTTGTTTCCATAATTTTTTTGTGGTAGCTAGAGGGCGCTGTTTGACATCATAACAGGTATTGCGCTTTTGCATAAAAAAAGTAAATTGGATGCTATATTTTTCTTTGCACCGTTAAATAGAGCACAAAATTTCCAAAATATTAGCGCACACCGCAACTTTCTATCTTCTCTCTAACGGGAGATCTTAAGAAAATAAATCATATTAGGCTGTCGCCTAGTATTATATGTCTAAAAATTATAGGAGTAGGCTAGGAAACAAAAAAAGGTAAATTGGTTACGTCAAAATATCAAAACGTTTAAGTTCAGTTTTCAGTTTCTCTTTTGTTTGTTTGTTTGTTTACTTTGTTTGTTTACTTTACCTTTGTCTACAAATTGTAAAATTTTTTGACAATAAAGGCATTTATTTATCATGCATCCAAATTTCGGGGTATTTAAAAAAAAATGACGTCATAAATTTTTAAACGTGTTTATGTAACATTATCGTTCATCCATATAATTTTTACAAATTTCTTGGTTAATTATCCGTAGGTAGTTCTCAGATTAAAATGTCCGAAAGTCGGACAACCAATAATTTTATTAAAATTTATAGGAACTATGTGCCGCCATATTGTTTTTAAAGGAAAACGGCAGAATTTCGTATGGCCAAAAACTAAGGGTTTATTTCATGTATCGTCATTTAGTTATTAATCCAAGTTCGTCCTTGATTTCACTTGTTTTCGCGTTTTATCTGTTGTTTATTTATTATTATATTATAAAGTTTATGTAATTTGGGTCACTTTTCATATAGCACAGGTACGAATCTTAATATGCACTACTGGTCCAAATCTACCCTTGATGCAAGTAGTTCAGCACCCAGACCGTTGGTCGGTAAATATTTAAACAGGAATTCTAGAATGGCGAATGATTGGTGGATTGGACTTTTAATTATCTGAATGAAATGAACTATCCATAATTTCTAAGAGATAAATTGCCAACTTTGTTAGGGGTCCATCATGATGAAATCACATTTGTTGTGCAATTTCATCAGCATAAATGTAGTTGGTGTAGTTGATGCAGTTGGTGCAGTTGTGCTGCTTATTTTGCTATGAATGTGTAGGGCTTCTTGGATACCACTTATTTTAGTAGATAGAGACGCTGGCGCGGCATATTTCCGTGGCCAGCTAGGTCATCGGATTCAATATGCCTGGGTTTTAATTTATGGGATCGAATCAAGAACGAACATGGATAAATAACAATTAAATGGTACTAAAATGAAATTAAAATATACGTTTTGATATTTTCACGTAACCAATTTACCTCTTTTTGTTTCCTAGCCTACTACTAGAATTTTTAGACCTTATAATACTAGGCAACAACCTAATATGAGTTTTTTTCTTAATATCTCCCGTTAGAGAGAAGATAGAAAGTTGCATTTTGCGCTAATATTTTGGAAATTTTGTGCTCTATTTAACTGTGTAAAGAAAAATATAGCCTCCTATTTAAATTTTTTATGCAAAAGCCCAATATCTGTTTTGATGTCAAACAGCGCCCTCTAGCTACCACAAAAAAATAATTATGGAAACAAAATTTATACTGGAGATCATTAAGGAAGAAAAGCTCTTTTAAACGCGCTCTAGTTTGTTTAAATCGGCTAACCCAAACCAGAGTTATCCGTATTTTAATAAAAGCAAGTTTAACCTTCCCCCACCACTTTACTTTATGAGATAGAGCAAAATACTCTATATCAAAAAACTTGCAAATTTCTAGATGATTACAACAGTAATATTTAAAATACCTGTTCACCTGCATATTTTTGAGAAAAACCCTGTTTTTTGATTGGATATCAGAGAAACGCCCCCTAGCGGACATTTTCCGAACTTGAAAATAATTTCCAGCGATTGCCCTTGGTCGATTTACTTATTAGAATTTTCTCCCAAAGTTATACGATAAGTAGTTTCTGAGATACAGCCGGTATCCATTCTTATTTGGTCACCCGATACTACTTCATATTAAGTTCCAGTTAAACCATTTAAATTACATAAAACGGAGTGATTCCTAAAAAAGATAAACTATTTCAGAAGATAATCCTTCAGAACTTTACTAAGAAAGGTTCTCAAGCATTTGGGAAACTAAACAGATTAACCACAAGTAGCAATATCACCAGAGGATTATTATATTTAAATTCTACACAAAATTAATCAGTTTATATAAGCACTTGATTGTCGTTTTTGCTACGTAGATAAACACAACAGAAATAATTAAAACCAACCGAGTGTAACAATACATGAAAAATTAAATAATGATAAGTTTTTCAAATATAAAAACTTTGTTTTTATTAGTATTTTAATAAAACACGCTTTTAGATGTTTCAAAAAACTTTTAATAAGAGTAACTTTAACTCTACATATGTTTCGGCTTGTTAGGCCTTTTTCAAGAGTTTTTTAAGAACTAATCGTCTAACTACACTGTAACTATATATATATATTTGCTATGGGGGTGGGTTCAGAGAGTTTACAATAGGGGTAACAAAAAATGTGTTTAGAAATCCTTGTTGGTCGTTAACATTATTTTCGTTTTTAACAGATTTTAGTATTTCTAACTGTTCAATGTAATTTAAGCGTCTACCTTTTGTTTCTCTGTGTAGTAACTTAATTGAGTTTTCATTAGTTTTGTGATTATTTACTATACAATGAGTTGCAAGACCAGAACTATGATGGAGATTATTAATAGACTTTACATGTTCTTTAATCCTTATATCTAAATTTCTACCTGCTTGACCTATGTACACGGCATCACAATCATTGCAATCCACCCTATATACACCCGACTTATTTTTGACATTAGTTTTGTCTTTATTATTTAATAAAATTTGACCTAAATTTCTTTTATTTACGTTAATAGTTTTACATCCTATTTTATTGAGATTATTTGATATTTTGTTAGTTAAATTAGGAATGTAGTTTAAAAGTCGATAATTGTTATTGTCTTTAGAGTTAGCGGAATAAAAATTTTTCATTACTATTTTCTTTTGTTTTTTCTTTAGTATCTAATTAAATTTTTGTATTAAATAGGTACTACTAATTATTTTAAGATATGAAAGTGATAATTAATGTTTTCCAAAAAAATATATTTTTGTTGCTAAGTAAAGCCAATTTTTACTTACTTTAACTTGGTCTTGTTCCCCTGCATATTCAAGTGTTTGAAAAATGGTCCACGTATATCTTCGCCTTACTTCTAATCGTGCCATGTAACTTCTGTACCATTTCTGAATTAGCAATGATGCTTTAATCGCTGAAATAGAAGAGAAAAATTAATATAGATTATATCATAGATGTAAAGTACATAAAAATAAAGTACATAAATATAATAGAAAAATATATAAAAATTTAGAAACTAATAGTGTCGCATTCTATTTTAATTAAATGTCTTTTTTAATTTAATCAAGTAAAAAACTCTATAAAAACGGTTGACTAAATAATATTTATATATATGTATATTCTGTACTAGCCAAAATACTGCATTAAACGTTATAACCATTGTAGAATATCAAAGAGAAATAATGGCGGCAGTAAAAGTTTGGACAAAAAAATGTAGCGATAGTAAAAGGCAAAAAATATTTATTAATACAATATATTGAAATATCCGTTTAACATTATTTTTATATGTACTTCAATAAAACAAGAACATTATCTACAACGTTTTCATAATTTATAAAACTATGATACTTTTTTCTTTCGCTTACTAAAACTCTTACTAAACAAATTTAAAATAATTTTCTAAAACATATAGCCAAAGTTGAAAATTAGTTTTTAAAACATGTCACAATCGTTTGTTAAGATATTTTTTCTGGAATATTAAATTTGAACTGTGCCGGTGGCAGTTCATGATGATCGTATTAAAATAATAATGATCGTTGCTTTGTAATAATATTTATGTATTTTAGTTTTTTGTAAGTGCATTTATTGAAACTACAAAACACTCAGGTACGAGGTGTGTGTAAAATATGTAGCCCTTATATAATAATTTTTACCCTCAAAATTTCTTTCGAGTCACTAAAAGTATTTGGAAGAAAATTATAATAAATTAAAAAATTATTAAGACTTTAACACCATGTAGCTACGAAACAGACCAGCATCGGACCTATGTTGATATGAGAAAAAAATCTTATTTTTACGTGAATAATCTCCCCTCTCTTCTTGAATACACCCTATATACTATACACGTACATATATCCAATAAATGGAGAGATTACATAATAAAATATTTTCAGCAATTGTAAAAACTAACTTTACATAAGTTAAATGCAAATTCTTCTATAACAACCGAGGGTAGCGTTGTTATTCTATTTAATATTCAAAACCACGCAATTTAATATCGAGTTCTACCGACATTTAAAAATAATAACACGTTTCATATCCTGGATTATTCAGATGTGATATTAATAAAAAAACTTTTCTTTGCATCTTTTAAATTGGATACATCCCTAAAGCTTTAGAAAACCTACAGAAATTGTTTTTCAAAATCGTGTATAAAAGCTTATAGGAAAGATATAGGAAATATGTACATAATGTTGTAATTATTTAATACAATTCTGAAGTAACGTCAATATTTAATGAAAATTGTGTGTCTGAAAAACGGGCACCTAAAAATTTGGTGTATCTTATAGTCTAATATACTTTTTCTACTGGGCCGATTTTGATGATGTTTAAGCAATATGTAGCTAAGTTATTTGACTCATTAGTATCTCTTTCTAAATTGAGAATTAAAGTTTCAATCTGTCAATTATAGGAGGGAAAACAAAATGTTAATATTTTGGTAAAAGTTTCAAACACCCTGTGGAATATGTTAAGACAGCAAGGAATTTAAAAGTTATTTTATCATCCAGATACATCCGTTCTAAATAAATTGTTTTTTGACTCATCTCACCGCATTATTAACGTACTGTACCCAAAATCCGTAAATCTATGGATTGATTCGTAGTTGTGGCAACACTGTCTCCGGTAACCACGCACTCCGTTGACTGAAAGCAGAACTACGGTACAGTATTCTTTATCCGCTGCGCTGTAAAAAACATCAGCGCGCAGCGGCGCAGAGCTAAACTAAATCTCGGACAGGTTTTGTGCCACGAGCCTATAAGGTTGCGCATCTCCTTATTTCTTCAATCAACGATGATATTTAGTAACATAACATTTCTACATTTTTAAACTTCATTCATAACCTCGAAATTAGTGGAATAAATTAGTGATTTCAATTAGCGTAAGTTTGTTCTTTTAATTTCAACGTAATCATTCAGAACATAAAAATTAGTGTTAGTCATTTTCAATTAATAGAAATAGTTAACAAACTTCACCACTAATAATTATACTTCAAAATATACGAAGAGTGTCATTTTGGCCTTTCATTATTTATCATCCGTCAAAAGAAATTGTGGTTAGAAATCGAAAGTTGATTGTTTTATAAGCTAGAATGTAGAATGTTTAGGGGGAGAGTTAATCACCGCAGATCTTTAGTGTGTTCCCCTTTCTTGAGTTACAACGAGTTATAACTCATCATACAGTTTCAGGGCTTTAACAAAAGTCAGTATCTGAGACGGCTCCTCAGAGGCCAGCTCTCTATCCTCGACATCAACCGTACCAAAGTTCATGGCACGAACCGTCGTCGCGTCGGCGTCGTCTCGGCGCGCTCAGTGATAAGGTGTTCTGATGTTTCCCCATTTTCCCCACAGAATCTCCATTCGCCGTTGTTTCTCAGCCTCAGCCTACTAAACTGTTCGTTAAGGAGTGTCCTGTTAGAAACCCCGTGACAATCTGAAGATTGTTTTTACTTAAATCAAGGAAAGCCTTTGATTTTTCTCGGTCGTAAGTTCTGAGGAACTTCTTCGAGTTTCTTAGACCGTTGGAGGACACCCATTCCATTTATAAGCTAAAGATTAGGCTCTTTTTATAGATACAACTGACTACCGCAAGCTGTTTTTTAGATATTGTGAATGATCGTAAAATAAATAATAAATAAATAAATAAATTATTATTTTTATTGTATAAAGAGTAATATTACAAATATACAATATTACACAATAATTGGTAGGAGTTTGGCGTTAGCCACTCTTCCACTCCACCATAAAATAAAAGTAAATGATTCTGCGCTTAGAATTCGAATTGTAAAAAAAAATGCAAAAGAATTACAATAACGAATATTTTTTTTTAAACAGCTGATCAAAAAAACGATTTTAAATTAATTTAATTAGTAGAAACAATATATCATTTTTAATTAGCAAACAAACGATTTTTTATTTCAAATTTAAATCTTGAAAATGGTGAATCTAGTATATCTAGTATTGGGTTTAACAATAATGCTGCCTTATAGGACAAACTACATTTAAATTTTGAACTAGAATGCCGCGGGACTGTAAAAGTATTTAATCTAATATCTCTATTATGGATTTCTGATCTTTTTATAAGTAAAATGTATAAATGGAGGAAGGTTGTATGTATAGACTTTATATAATAACATAACATAAAGGTATTAAAAACGTAAAGAGTCTAGGCTCATTCAATTTAATTAGGTAAGGAGTTATGTGCTCTCTATATTGTCTTCTTCTTACAATGCCATACTCTATACAGAGCGTCGGCTACCTCTCGCATGTAATTGTGATGTGTGTCATCAGTGTTTCACAAGTACACGGGGCCTACAGTTTATCACCGAAGCCGAACGGCACTATTTGAGAGGCTGTACAAGGCAAATATACTCAAGGTGGTTTGCCATTGCCTTCCTTGAGGTGGCGGCTCTCTGGTCGCTCTATCTTAATCGATAAATCAATATTTTTATTTAAATAAATAAAGCGACCGTACTACTGGCTGAGGATCGAACCCAGTACCATCGCATCTCTCGCACCGCAGATCGACACACTAACTGCTTGCGCTACGGCCGGCCACCTCTATATTGTATCACAAACAAATCTTACCGATGCATTTTGTACTCTCTGTATTTTTGCTTGGTTGTAGTTGGTCAAAAAACTGTAATAAATCCGACTACAATAGTCCAAATCAGCGCCGTTATTAGGTGAAGTTTTGTCGCTTCCTCCAACAAAAATTTTAGATAATACAGGCTTTTCAATTTAAACATTTAGCTTGTTTGTATACTTTATTACAGTGATGTTCGAAAGTCAGGCCGCTGTCTAAGTAAACTTCCAGGTTCTTGGCAACATCGATCCATTAGATCAGAGTACTACCAATAGGTAAATCAAAATTGGAAACAATAAAGTCCCTACTCCTCGCATTACCTACACAAAGAGCAAAAAAGTGTAAACTAAAAAGTATAAAGTGTAATTGAAACCACTAATTTATTCCACTAATTGCGAGGTTCTGAATAAAGCTTTATACGAAAATTTTAATTTTAAATATAAATATTTTATAATAAAATTTATTTCTAATATGTCATCAGAAATTTACCGTTTTTGCCCAATACGTTATTACGATCTGCACTTAAAATGCGACAAAAACTTTTAAATCCGGAATTTTCTATTTTATTTCTGTCGAAAAACGTGATTTATACCACATATTAAACCCTTCAGCTGACTTCTGGAATAAATTTCCATTTAAACGGAGATCAGCTCTTGGTTGAAGATATATATCCATTTCGACAGCGCTCGCTTGCACATACAAATAAATACGAGTGGCACTTAAAGATTTAGTTAGGTTTGGTTTGGAATATCATGATTTATGATATAAAATAAAATCTGATTTTTCCAGCATTTTATTCGGTAGTATTTGATAAAAAGCGTATTTTACAAACAGGGGCTAATATAATAATAAATTACATTTTTAAAAGTTCTGACACACGAGTCGAATGTTGCTGGGGGGAAAACTGCAACAGAAAAGTTATGTGGCTGAAATAACTCATTTTTTTCTATATATTGTAAAGAAGTTCTATTTTTTTATTGGTTCGTTTATATACCGTTATTAATCTTTTAACAATCAGGTCTCCGTGGGGCAATGCTTCAAGGTTTAAGCTAGGAAGCGAGAGACCTGAGTTCAAATTCCGGCCGTGGCAAAAATACTTTTTTATTTTTATTATTTAAAATACTGTTGATGTAAATTTATAGTTTATTACTAATATAAAAATGGAACTGTTTATTCTATTTTTAAACTCCAATATTAATGTAAATTCCTTGTTTATGGGCTAGTTTTGGTTTAAGTTATTGTCACATTGCTATGAAATTATTAATTATTAATTAGATTAAGATGATTTCTTAATTGTTATTAATTGGTAAGATATCCAATAGATGAATAATT